TAGTAGTAGTAGTAGTAGTAGTAGTTGTAGTAGTAGTAGTAGTAGTAGTAGTAGTAGTAGTAGTAGTAGTAGTAGTAGTAGTAGTTGTAGTAGTCGTCGTATAAGGGGGAGTAGGAGGAGGTGCAGGAGGAGGACAGGGATGAGGAGGTGGATGAGAAGGAGGAGGACGAGGAGGAGGAAGAGGAGGAATCAGGAGGAGGAGGAAGAGGAGGAGGAGGAGGAGGAAGAGGATTAGGAGGGAGGAGGTAGGAGGAGGAGGAGGAGGAGGAGGAGGAGGAGGAGAAGGAGTAGGAGGACGAAGAGGAGGAGGAGGAGGAGGAGGAGGAGGAGGAGGCGAGGGAGGAGGAGGGCAGGAGGAGGGAGTGGAGTAGGAGGAGGAGGGAGGAGGAGGAGGAGGAGGAGGAAGGAGGAGGAGGAGGAGGAGGAGGAGGAGGAGGAGGAGGATGGGGGGAGCAGGAGGAGGAGGAGGTGGATGAGGAGAAGGGAAGAGAAGGAGGAGAGGAGGAGGTGGAGGACAAGCTAGGTGCGCTCGCGTCATATCTGACATCCTACCCCTCCCTCCCATCCCTTACAATGGCGTAGATCCCCTCTCTACTCGCACAGTCGGATGTCGAGCAGGGCAATGATCCCGAAAGGGTACGCGATGCATTGTAGAGCACGGCATGTCATGGCGTAGAAGAGCACCGCAAAGGGTAGTATCAACTTAGCATTGCATTGCATGCCGTGGCATGGCACGGTAAATGACGCCAGCGCTGCAGCGGGAGCACGAGTCGGAACGAGCGGAAGCGCGGAAATGAGGCCAGCGCTGCAGCGGGAGTATGATTCGGAACGAGCGGAAGCACGGAAATGGGGCCAGCGCTGCAGCGGGAGCACGATGCGGAACGAGCGGGGCCCGAAAATGAGGCCGGTGCCTCAGCGAGAGCAGCATTTTGGAAACAAATGCAGGCGAAAACCCAACTCCAGGGAATCCTGTGTGTAAAAAACAGTACGCGGGGGCGGGGGGGGCAAATACTTTCAAACCGTCATCAGGGGAAGAGGGAGAGTAGTATTCATATTGAGTAATTGTGGAGGATGAGGAGGAGGAGTAGAAGGAGGAGGATGAGAAGGAGGAGGAGGACGAGGAGGAGGAGGCGGAGGAGGAGGAGGAGGAGGAGCAAGAGGAGAAGGAGGGAGGTGGTATACCCAGCGGGGCTCAGGGCGCCCGGGCCCGAGAGTATGTAATATGATGTGACAGCAGCGCTGAACGCCTGCCTTTCAGCTCGGTCACCAGAGGAGGCACAGACGGTTTGCGCGCCGCAGACCACTGAGAAAGAGGTCCAGTGGATTTCTTGCTCGGCAGACAAGTCAGAACTTTTGGGGATGGACTCATTCCGAGCTGGCCGGGTGGTCGATGTGCTTTCCCATTCGCTTCCCTTCGCAGTTTCCGCTCGGCACTGCTGCAGCCCTTCGGTGTTCACGCGCGGAAAGAAAGTGAGAACCTCATCATTCAGCATTCGTTTCGGCTCCTCCGCGACCTCCGCATAATCTTCAGGGCGCGCTGAGTCTTTCCGAAGCCATGCCGCCCAGGCAAAAGTCGACCAGCAAGATCTATGAATACTCAGGACTGGAAGAAGGGACGAACCTTAAGGTGGAGTCGGACGGCACGTACTATGCCGCGGAGGTCGTGGCGGTCTCCACTTCGAAGGGCCGCGCAAAGGCCCCCGTCAAGGTGTCTTACAAGGGCTACGAGGGCTACGACGAGTGGGTTGGTGGAGATCGGCTCCGATCCAGGGCCCTGAAGGTGGTGACGCCCGAGAAGGCCGCGGCCAAGCCCAAAGCCCTGGCCGCGGGCGACGTCCGGCTGCATTACTGGCCAGCGCGGGGGCGCGGGGAGCAGGTGCGACTTGCGCTCGCGGCCACGGGGACGAGCTTCGAGGACGTGACGTTCGACATCCGACGAAGAAAAGACGGCGCGCAAAGATACAATTTCGGAGCTCCGTGCGGATTTCTTGGATCGTCGCCAGGCCCCCCCACTCAGAAGAAGAATAGGTACCGATACCGGTTCCCTTGCTTCGTTTTCGCATTTTTGTGGGCCTCCTCTGAGGGCTTCGTCGCCACGGCTGACTGGCCTCAAAGTTCTTGTCAGAATTCACACCAGGAGGTCCTGGGAGTAGAGATATCGGTACCTTTTGGTTTCCCCCTTCTGGCGCGCGGAGCGTGCCAGGGGCAGCACCGGCGGCGCCGCTAGGGGGGCCCAGCGCCGATCCAAGACGTCCGCGCGGATCTCTGGAAGTTTGTGCGTATGCCGTTGTCTCTTCCTCTGGACATGGCAGACGACGCAGCGAAGACCGCCTTCTTCGAGAAGTGCAGGGAGCTGGGCGGCAACCTCACAAACAATACTCCGATGCTGGAGCTCGGCGGTAAGTTCTACACGCAGTCGACCGCCATCGTCAAGTTCGTGTGCGCCCGCGGCGGCCTGGTGGCGAGGCGCGGTACCTACGAGGTGGACAACATCATCGCACACGTGGAGGACCTGCGCCCAATCTGCTACAAGACCATCAAGTTTTTGGGGGGTGTCATGGAGAAGGAGGAGTTTGTGGACAAGTCAGAGATGCACTTGAGAAACCTGGAGCGCCTTCTGGGAGAGAAGCAGCATTTTGTGGAGAACAGAATGACGGCCGCTGACATCTGCGTCTACGACCTTCTTGACACCATGATAGAGACGCAGGTCCCAGGACATTTGGCCTCCAACTTCCCGAGGTTGGCGGCATTCCGGGAGCGTATGGGGCAGGTGAAAGGAATCGCGGCGTACCACGTGACCGAGCAGCACAAGAAGCTCTTCGCCTTTCCCGCCATATGAACGATCCGTGGGAGTCCAGGTGCGACTTTCAGCACGCATGTGGGACCGTCCTCGCTTCCCAGCCTTCGAGTCCTGCCAGAGGCCAGGGGAAACGTCTACAGCTGCTGGCGTCGGAGGGCGGTGGATGGGTCGAAGGAAGGGGAAGAGAACGGGGATGCGTAGAAGCGTGAGCCGGGGAATACGAAGAGGGGCCCCAGATATGCGATGTCTTAATTTTTTCAATCTTGAGACCTCCGGAAGTCCTGCCCCTTCTCACCTGGGCCGGCTTTCCATCCTGGGGCGTCTTCTGGCGGCCCCCCGGAGCCCGGCGAGGGCCCCCCGGAGGGCCAGGAGAACGGCCAGGACCACTTCCCGCCATGCTTCTTGTCGCGAGGAGGAGGAGGAGGAGGAGGAGGAGGAGGAGGAGGAGGAGGAGGAGGAGGAGGAGGAGGAGGAGGAGGAGGAGCGGCCTGGGCTTCCGCAAGCTCGTGCGCCAAGCCCTGGCCACGCCGCCGCTGCGCCCGCCGACGGCCTCTGCCTCGGCCCGGCCGCCCAGACAGAGGCCTCCCAGATGGGGTCCGTCGGGGGCGGAAAAGAGGGGGGGTGATGACTAGGGGGGGGGGGATATCATGTCGTGGGCCATGATCTTCCCCCCGGATCTCATGGCGCCTCTTCTTGTTTCGTTACGTCCCTGGCCCCCCCGCTGGGCCGCGCACATGCCGCCGGTCATGATTTGCGCCCCCCCCTCTTGGACACCCCCTCATGGCCGCTCCCGAGTCCGAGCAGAGGGGGTCGGAGGATCGCGCGGCATCGACGATGCATCGCCGATGCATCGGCGCACCGGCGTGGAGCACATCGGGCGCCACATCGGGCCGCATATCGGCGGTGCATCGGCGACGCATCGCGACGCGATCTTCCGGCTCTCCCTCTGCTGCGAGCCGATATCCTGGGAGGCTTGGAGCGGAGGCTCCCGCGGCCGCCTAAGGGCGCTCCTCCTGGCCTGCCGCCGAGGGCGCAAGCAGGCCCGAGGTGACGGCGTGCGCCTCGCCCATGGAGCGGAGGCTCCTGCGGCCGCTCCGCCAGGCGCCCGTCCAGGGCGCTCCTCCTGGCCTGCCGCCGAGGCAGGCCAGCCACAACTGGGGGAGCTGTGGTCCTTACCCCCCTGGGGGACCCATCGATTTCGACACCCCTCTCGAGAGGTCGTCGATGCGATGGGTTCCCCCTGGGGGGTAAGGACCACAGCTCCCCCAGTTGTGGCTGGTCGGCGAGGGCGCAAGCAGGCCCGAGGCGACGGCGTGCGCCTCGCCCAGGAGTGCGGCGGGCGGCGGCCCACGAACAAAAGCCGTGCGCGGCCCGCGGGCGGCGCTGGAGGGGCACACGTCGGGCCGGGAGCCGACGCCCTCGGGGCCGCCGTGGGCTCTCTCGGCGTCCTCGGGGCCACGCCGCACGGCGGAAGGCCGGCACTGGCCCGCCGGGCTGCGGCGGGCCGCGGGGTCCGCGCCGCGCGGCCAAGCAGCACTGCGTGCCGACGGGCCGCCGCCGCTCATCATGCGCACCCACCACCCCAGAAGATGCGCGCTCGCCGCGGAGGGAACGTGGGGCGGGGGGTTTTGCACCGGTTTCCCCCCCCCTGGGGGCCCCAGGACCGTCAAACAGCGACCCAGGCTGCAGAACCAGCCCTGGGAAGGAGGTCGGGGCTCCCAGGGGCCCTGTAGCAGAAAGATCAAGCCATCGCGTGTCTGGGGGGGAGCTTATCGGATCGATGCTCTGGGCCCGCGTGGCCCATGTGGGCGTCGTGCTTGCACACATTTTGTTGGTCGCCTTATATACCGAACGTGCTTGTGAATAGTTTGCTTGCGTCAGCCCGTCGCACGTCTGGGACCCCAGGGCGGGGAGGTAAGCCGGCCGCTGGAGCAGAACTGCCCTGGGCAGCGGTCACGCCAGCCCAGCGTCCCCGCCTCCGGGCTGAGTGCCCCTGCTGACCCGGGCTGGGCTGGCCCAGCAGCGGGCTGCCAGTGTGCCCTGGGGTCAAGCTTCTCTCGAGGGAAGAAACGCACTGACCATGACCCAGATGTCGCGGGATCTTGCCGCCGCCGATCCCCAGACATGCTCGCGCCGCGAAGGAAAAACGTGACGGGAGATTGTTGGCCGTTCAAGCCCCCCAAGACGGCAGTTTCGCACGGGAGGAAAATCTGCGATTGAGGCGGGGTCCGTCGATTCATTTATTCCTTGGTTCATGAGATGCACGCGTTTTTATGTGGTGCCAAAGGCCTCATGCTCATGGCTTGGGTAGCTCTCACGGGAGCGGCGGATTTCATTCTCAGCAGGGGCAGGCGTTTCGAAGTCATCCACAGTCCGCCTGGTGCGGAGGCGGGATAGCAAGTATCCAGCTCGAATCGGCCCCAAGGGGCCCTTTGTGAAACGGCGTCCGCCCGCTGCGGGGGCAGGATACCACGTATCCGTCCCGCGCTGGCCCGAGGTGGACCCGTTGGCACAGGGCGATGCCGATGATGAACTTGGCGGCGTTATCTATCGCAGATGGCATCTCCACTCCCACGATCGATACCACACCCCTTTCTGTGCCACACCCTTTCCCTATCCCCAGAGCCACCGCCGCCGCCGCCGCCTGCCAGGGCGCGTGGGCCGCCGCCTCCACGTGCGACGGGCGCATCTTCCTCTGGCCCTGCGACCACGACAGGACCCGCCGTGGCCCCTGCTGGGGGGCGCGGGCAGGGAGGAGGGAGGAGGGAGGAGGGAGGAGGGAGGAGGGAGGAGGGAGCAGGGAGGAGGGAGCAGGGAGGAGGGAGGAGGGAGGAGGGAGGAGGGAGGAGGGAGGAGGGAGCAGGGAGGAGGGAGGGAGCAGGGAGGAGGGAGGAGGGAGGAGGGAGGAGGGAGGAGGGAGGAGGGAGGCGGGAGGAGGGAGGAGGGAGGAGCAGGGCGTGGGCAGGTCCGGCGGCGGCGGCTCTGCATCCCTCCGCCCGTCTTCTTGGGGGTGCTCTGCGGGGGCCTCTCGGGCTGCCCCGGGCGGTCGGAACCCGACGGGGCGATGCTGCCAACAGCTGTCGAGCACCAGCGATAAGTGCACGGGCGCTGGTCTCGGGCAGGGCGAAAAGGGGGGATTGGGAAAGGGGGGGTTACGAAATCTGCTGCATGCAGCTGGTTTCGGCCCCGCCGCCTGGCCCATTCCTCGATACATAGCCGCCTCCGGCGCCGGGAGGCGCCGGGAAAATCAGCTACGTGAGCTGATTCTCACCCCCCCCCCTTTGCTATCCCCCCCTTTCGCCCGGCCCGATGGTCGGAATCCCAGAGATCCGGTGTCGTGGTTCTTTCAGTGCGCGGTCCCCGGAAGTCTCCACCCATTCCCCAGCACCGGTTTCTCATCTTGAGTCGTTTCTTGACGGTCCCGGGGCCTGGCGAGGGCCCCTCGAGGCCCTCGCCGGGTGTCTGAAGAGTCGGGACCGTCGCCGCGCCGTTTGTTCCGACGCGCGGCCTTTCGTCTTGGGGAGGGTGCCTCGGCCACCAGGGCAACCTCCGCCTCGGACGCACAGTTTGCCTTGCGTTTGCCGTGGTGTCGGTTTCGTCCACTCGGGCGTGTGGAGAGCAGACAGCGCGGCTACATATAGAAGGAGAACGATATAGAGGTCGGTAGATACAGGAGTAATGTTCGGTAGCAAATCATGGGAGCCTGGTGTACCCTCTTAATTCCGTCTTCAGCGTCGACTCGCGTCGATTAGCGTCTGGGACGATGCAGCGTCGATTAGCCTCGATTTGGCGTCGATTAGCGTCGACTTAACGTCGACTGGCGTCGATCCGCAAGAGCCAACAAGATGGCATGGGAGGCTCCCATGTGTTGCCGCAGAAGTAATGCGATCGAGAGATTGAGCTAACGATCGATATCCAGCTGCCTGCGGCAACCCCCTCCGCCTTGCCAGTGCAACAAAGTAGCAGGAAGGTCCTTTGAATTATCAGAGTGAGGGGGCTGAACCAAACGGTCATTCCCTGTCCCTGGGCGCGTGGCTGAAGTGGAATTCCGCGATGCGGATTCTCGTTCTTGTTGTTGAATTCTCACTTCTGAAGAATAATTGTTGTTGATCCCCCCCCACCGGTGCATACTGTTTTTTCTCGATCAAAGTGTGCCCCTCGACGCTCGCACCCTGTTTTTTGACAGGGAAAGTCTTCCTGCTCAAACTGGTCCCCTGGCCCCCGGGTTACAACAACAACGGATCCCGCCTGAGACTTCCTTCAATTTAGCCAGGGCCCCCGCTCCCGCCCGAGACTTCCTCGCATTCTATTCAGGAATCGCGCTTTCGCTTGGGACTTCCTTACAATTGTTTCAAGAATCGCTCTGCCGGCGCTCTGGAGTCGCGCTCTCGCTGGAGACTTGCTTGCAACTTACTGAAGAATGGCCTTGCGGAGGAATTTCTTGCAATTTGCCCAAGCGCCGCGCTCCCGACACCCAGGCGCCCAGGAGTCGCGCCCGTTGTGGCCCCATGTGCGTGCCCTTCGTGGCCCCGCTGTCGCCATTTGTGTCCCCCTCACTGTCCTACGTGGCCCTATTGTTACCCTCAGTGGCCCCATAGTTGTCTTCTGTGGCCCCGCATTATCTGCACTTCGTGGCCCCCGCTCGTTCGCGCTCTTCGTGGCCCCATACGCATTCCCTTCGTGTCCCCGCTGTCGCCGTTCGTGGCCTACTTCCTGCCCTTCGTGGCCCTGCTGTCGTTCTCTCTCGCTCTCGCTTTCGCTCGTCGTCGCCGTCGCCGTCGTCGTCGCCGTCGTCTTCGACGTCGTCGTCGTCGTCGTCGTCGTCGTCGTCGTGGTCGTGGTCGGTGCCCTGTCCGTCCCTCTTGGGGTCGGGTCGACGGTCCGCGGCCGCGCCCCGCCGATCAGCGCTGCCGCTGGCCAGGCCGACGGTCCGCGGCCGCCCCGCCGCTTGCGGGGGCCCGGCCTGCAGGGAAGCAAGGTATACCCCCCAAAAGGGGTTCGATCGAATACGAAGAGGGCGGGTATCGAAGGTTTGGGAAATACGCGTTATTGGACACTCGAGCATGTAAGGGCGAACAGTCTTAAAATGATTGTTGTTGTTTGTTTGTTTGTTTGTTTGTTTGTTTGTTTGTTTGTTGTTTGTTGTTTGTTGTTTGTTGTTTGTTGTTTGTTGTTTGTTGTTTGTTGTTTGTTGTTTGTTGTTGTCTTTGTCCCACCCGCGATCCGCCCCGCGACCTACCCGCGACCCACCCCGCGACCCACCCGCGACCCACCTGCGACCCACCCCGCGACCCATCCGCGACCCACCCGCGATCCACCCGCGACCCACCTGCGAGCCACCTGCGACCCACCCGCGACCCACCCCGCGACCCGCCCGCGACCCACCCCGCGATCCCCCCAGCGACCCCCC